ACACACACACACACGTCAGTTTTCATCTTAATTATAGTGAATGAAGTTTAACACCAACCTGTTTGTTCCTCTGTATCCTCATCTTTCATTCTGCAGGGTTCTTCGCCGCAAGAGCTGAATAAAACAATAGCATACAAAATGCACATTAAAGTCTAATCCATAAACACTCTCTCCACTACAATATTATAACATACTCAGCGAATTTCACAAAATATTTGTTACAACGAACAGTAGACAAATATATACACACCTTATGCCTTCTCGGGGGTGCTGTACAAATGTACAAAACCGTCTTTCTGTGAACTAGTTCTGGTCACCTGTGATGAAGCGTGGCTCTCTGGAACCTTTGGACAAATAAGCGTAACAATGTAACAATGTTGCCGCTGCTGCTTTGGCTGCAGGCTACGGTTTTATACCGTCTATGGCTGTATGCAGGGAAGGAGACCAAAGCCGTTTTTGAATGTATGTCAATAGATGAGAGCCTTCGATACGCTGAACAAACGACTTTTGTTAAGAAACAGCTTATCATTTAATGAATCGACAGCCTATCGGCTAATCTTAAACTTTTTGGCCATTAAACAACAATAGGCTCGTTTGAGATGAACCAAAGCTGCGCAGAACGGATCACCGAGAGATGCATGCCGCGCAGGGTTGCCAGGTTTTCACTGCAAAACCCTCCCAAAATTGCTATCCCTATCGCTTTTCTTCTGCTTCTACTTCTTCTTCTAGGGTTTACTGGCGGTTGGCAAACAACTTATTGGTGCATTACCGCCATCACCTGGTATGAAGTGTGGACCAGAATGTCTAATATGTATGCATTGTTTAAAGGGGTCATATGATGCGATTTCAATTATTCCTTTCTCTTTGGAGTGTTACAAGCTCTTGGTGCATAAAGAAGATCTGTAAAGTTGCAAAGACTAAAGTCTCAAATCCAAAGAGATATTCTTTATAAAAGTTAAGAGTCAGCCACGCCCTCCTAAAACGGCTCGTTCTAACACGCCCCCACATGTCTACGTCATGATGTGGGAAGATTTGCATAACGCCGCCCAAATGTTCACGTAACGAAAGAAGGCATAACTTTAATTCTTGCTGTAGTATTGTTGTTGCCTCCCCCGACATGTCGTAAAGACGCAGACGCTGTGTGCTTCGTTGTGAAAGCGAAACTACTTTGTTTGGTCTTCCAAAAGAGGTCACGACTAGAAATCAGTGGTTAAGTTGTATTTATAACTCTGTTCCAGAACAGTTCAACCCAAATATTCAGATGTGTGCAGCGCATTTTATGGAGGATGAGGACTGTTTCCTGAACCTGTAGCCTACAATGCATCTGTGGCACAAAGGCTGTTTCTATAAAGTGGAGCAATTCCAACTTCGCAAGGACAGTCTGGCAATTCTGACTCACAGACTGTAAGTACGTTTTTCATATTTAAAGGATTTGCCACTGATGATTCAAACGTGAGTTTTGAGCAGTGTAGAGTAGTGCTTGTTGTTTGTTTCTCCGAATTACAAATGCAGACAATTTTGTTTCACCCAAAATTCTAGTCTAATTGCTCAGTTCGGTTTCTTGCACAAACCGATTGTTTCGTGTCTTAGGACATCAATGTGTCGTCACGAGCCGCAGGGTTTAATTTGGATTTGTCTGTGCATGTTTTCTTTATTCTCATAGATTTTGTTACCATTGCCATGCATTATACGACTGATAGACTGCAACGGTTGGACTTAAAAATCATCAAATGTGTTCTACTGAAGAAACAAAGTCACCTACATCTTGGATGCCCTGTGGGTAAGCAGATAAACATCAAATTTTCATATTTGGGTGAACTATCCCTTTAATAGGCCTAGTCTTTTATTGGCCTGTTTAGACAAGCTCTCCATAAAACAAACAAAATCCTGCAAATTAATAATAATAATTCAAAAACACATACAGACACTTCATATTTAATAGATTTTTATTGTTTTAATTGCATTTGATGCATTATACTGTCAATAAAACATTTTGCAATGGGTTTGTAAAATCATTTTATGTCTCTACAGAAATCCCAATCTCAATATTTAGGTCACCTCTTCAAAACGATTCTCCTAACCAGTTTAGTACAGCAGTTAATTTCACATTCAAAATGCACTAAAACACATCATGCATATATTCTTATTTTCTTCATAACACTAGGTAAGATTGTTGTCCTCCAACACAATCTCCTCTTAGTCACTCATAAAACAATGACCTAAAAACAACAGGTAGCATTAAACAATGTTTTCTTTTGTGAAACGTCGTTACAAAATAAGAGCTACTCTCTGTTTGTAATTTAATGCAGTAGTTAGTTCATTTTTACATTACAATAGCCTACACAATTATTCCTGTTCCCCAGGTGTTACATCTTATTGTTTAGATTTGGTATATAAATTGACCGAATTAATGTAGAAATGTAGCAAATATCTGTATTATCATGTTAGGTTCTGAACTAAAGTTTGACAGTTTTGCAAAGATTATGTAAATGTGCAAATAGTTCTGTAATATTTTGGTGATCATTGTGTCTGAGAGAGAACAGAATTCATGTAATTTCAAAAAAAATGTGCCAAAGCAATGCTAATGGTCCTCCGTTTAGTCACATAGACACAACAACAATTACATGTTTTATTACATTTTTACCAAACTGTTTGTCAAAATATAAGGTATAACCAACCATACATACAATGTGTGATCTGAAACCTTGTACATATTTTCACTATAAGATGTAAGCCAAGTATTTTACTGCTGAATTGCACAGAACACATTCACTTTTCCTGAATAATTTGATCTTTTCTCAGTGTGTATTTGTGTATCTCCATATTATGAGAAGAATCACCTCTTTAAATACAAACAGAAAAACACCTGGTGCTGTTTTTAGATAAAAGAATGAGCTTTTATTAATAGCTAATAAGCAATGTTGAATACACTACTTAACTTCATGTAAACTTAAGGAAAAATTATCCATTGATCACTTAGATGCCTTTGTGCAATGTTTTTTCTTATGACGCTGTAGATTACATGATTTGGTGAAACTCTTCCCACACGAAGAGCACTGGTACGGCTTTTCTCCAGTATGAACTTGCTCATGATTTTTCAAGGATGTTGAGCGAGCGAAACTCTTTCCACAGAGTGAGCACTTGTAAGGTCTCTCTCCAGTATGAATCGTCTCATGTGTTTTTAAGATGCTCGATGTAGCAAAGGTCTTTCCACAGTCAAGGCACATATATGGTTTCACACCAGTATGAATACTTTCATGTCCTTTTAAAGCACATGGTCGTAAAAAACTCTTTTCACAAAAAGAGCAAACGTGAGGTTTCACAGCAGCATGAAGTTTAAGGTGTTTTCTTAAGTTTGATGCCACAACAAATGTTTTATCACACTGATCACAGCTGAATGATCTCACTCCAGCATGAGAGAGAAGATGATCTTTGAGTAAGTAGTTGCACCTGAAACTCTTTCCACACTGAGTGCATGCAAATGTTTTTTCTCCAGTGTGAATTCTCATGTGATCATTTAGGTGTCCTGTATCAATGAAACTGTTTCCACACTGAGTGCAAGTATAAGGCCTCTCTCCAGTGTGAATCCTCATGTGTCTTTTGAGTTTTGATTTGTGTACAAAAGTCTGTCCACACTGAGTGCATGTGAACGGTTTTTCTCCAGTGTGAGATTTCATGTGCACAGCAAGGTTTCCTTTCTTACTGAAACTCTTTCCACACTCGGTGCAGGTGAAATATCCTTTGACTTCAGTTTTTACAGCTTGTTTCTGTGTGAAATTCTGTTCAGTCTTTGAAATGATAGCGTTTCCATCTTTATTTGTGACATAAGGTTTTTGAAACTGATGCTGCTTGTCCTTATTCACTTCCACTGAGTCTAAAGTCAAAACATTAAATGATCAACAAGTGTGAAACCAAATAAAACACAATTGAGCCTCAATTGAGCAAAAATATACTTCACTGCTGAGTCCACTAGTATGGATGTATTGTTATATGTGGCCCTGGACCACAAAACCAGTCATAAGGGTCCATTTTTAATAATAAATAAGCTTTCCATTGATGTATGATTTTTTAGGATAGGACAATATTTGGCCGAGATACAACTATTTGAAAATCTGGAATCTGAGGGTGCAAAAAAATCTAAATATTGAGAAAATCGCCTTTAAAGTTCATATAAAGTTCTTAGCAATGCATATTACTAATCAAAAATTCCGTTTTGATATATTTATAGTAGGAAATTTACAAAATATCTTCATGAAACATGATCTTTACTTAATATCCTAATAATTTTTTGCATTAAAGAAAAATGTATAATTTTGACCCATACAGTGTATTGTTGGTTTTTGCTACAAATATACCCCAGCGACTTAAGACTGCTTTTGTGCTCCAGGGTCACATATGTCAGTTTTCATCTTAATGTTCCTCATCAGTCGTGAAAGAGAATGAAGGAGAACACCAACCTGTTTGTTCCTCTGTATCTTCATCTCTCATTCTGCAGGGTTCTTCCTCAAACTCCATCTTTCCAACAGTATGTCAGTAGTTTCTCCTGGAGTAATTCCTCCTGCTTGCTTCTTCTTCAGCTGTGGGAAGATGGGAATATTCTCCAGCATTTAAACTCTCATGAACGGCTGTGGAGCGGCTTCACTGAAGGAGTCAATGGAGCTCATTTCACACACAATCACTCTGAATTAAAGCTTCTTTCAATTCTTTAATTCCCACAGCAGTGCAGAATATTGCTGAAAGATAAACGCTGCGAGAGTATTGAATAGGATTGATTGCTGTAATTAGACATCCATTAAACGTGTGAATGTGTGAAAAGTAAAGACAAAGGAATAGTTTGCAAATTGCAGATATGAGCATTTAAACTAAAAACTACAGTTTTCTGGAACTTCTGTGTGAGATTATATGGATTAAAAGGTTAAACGCACAATTAGAAAAATAATGTTTTAAAATAAAACTATCTAGAATGATAGTTCTTAAAATGTATGTCAGAAATAAACTATTATTCGGTTGTTCATATTGTTACGCGGTTAAATTGGGATTTGTTATGTGGGGGGGCTCTATGGTGCCGGGCTTTTAAGGGGTGCACATGTGTATGATAAGCTGTAAAATATAACAAGTTAAGAAAGCCCTCTGCTATGAACACTAAAATGTTGATCAAAATCATTCTAGATGCTGGCAGTGTGCAAAGCTACATCTGATGACAATACAATCTTTCTGTAGGCCTGTGCCATCTCCTTTGTGTCAGTATCAAAAAAATGAATGATATTGCCATTAAAGGAGAGAATATAAATACAAAATATTAAGAATAGAACAGTCTTTTTATTAGGAAGATTAAACTGGAATTAAGTAACCTCATTACTTAATCTTTCATTTCAAATTCTTACATTTGATCTATAAAAAAAATTTTTTTTTTTTTACAATAATTTTTGCACTAATATCGGGACCTTCGTGTCATTTTTCAAAACTCTAGACAAATAATTCACAACCGATTATCAAAATGAAACATTTTCAAAACACTTAACACTTTTTCCAAATGCTTGGATACAATTCACATAAACCTATAGATCATTTGCTCACTGAACTAAAATCACAGGTTCAAAATGACACAACTTAGCATCAAAGTATTACTATTTCAAAATGCAACTCACACATTACATCTGAATTGAGTGTCTATTCATTTCATTACAATGATCCAACTATCTATTGATCCAACTGCTCAAAAGTAACACTAAGTTGCAAAAAGTTGCAAACAAATTTTTAAATTACACAAAGATGACTGCTACAAAATGCAGTTTTGAAATGCCGTTTTCATTTATTAAGGGAAAAAAGCTGTCCAAACCTGCCTGGCACAATGTGAAAAAGTAATTGCTCCCTAAATCTAATAACTGGTTGTGCCACCCTTTGCAGCAACAACTACAATCAAGCATTTGCGATAACTGGCAATGAGTCTTTCATATCGCTGTGGAGGAATTTTGGCCCACTCTTCTTTGCAGAATTGTTTTAATTCAGCCACATTGGAGGGTTTTCGAGCATGAATGGACTGTTTAAGGTCATGCCACAGATT